AACTATCTCAATTTCTTCCCCATCTATTTGCCAGGAATTGAGAGGGCTGGATGCCAGACTCTTCTTAGGAATGTACAACTATTTGAATTTGGAATGGAAAAGGGACCTAGGCATGCTAGCAGCCTCTCATAATGAAACTTTAGAGAAGCTGTGACTTGTAGTGGACTCACATGGTAGCTGGATGATCTCAGGAAGATATATATTTGAAATGATGCAGTATTGTTGGTGTCTTCTTAAGCCTTCTTTGGTCAAGCACACTTCTTTGTGTGACCTGCCAGCTATGGTTGTACTCATCTGAACCACCACATATCAAGGAGAGGAAATAGTAGCTATTCTATTCTATTCTATTCTATTCTATTCTATTCTAAATTTGTATAACTATAGGATTGGAGCAACTTTCTCCTCCACCATCAATTTAGGCTGATCAGGTTTTATTATGATAACACAAAATTCTTCTACTGAGATAGAGACCTTTCTAAATGAATGTCAGGCCAATTGCTATCACCATTTGCCATTCATCCATGACTCTACCAACATTTTCATAAATTAAAAAGATTTTTTTTCTTTCCAAACATGGAAAAATGCAATTCAGCAACCCCAGACAATCTTGAAGATTCAGGGAATTCACCATGAACTTGTCATGCTAGTTAATCTTGCTATGATTCAATTGGAAACCAATTCTTGGGTGGAAGAAAGTTCCTAAATGAATATGGTGTACACTTCTTAATAGTCTGCCACTCCAACTGAAAACTAGACACCCAGCATTTATAAATTTCTGTATATATAAAAAAACAGTTTAGGTTTTTTTTAATCAAAATGATTGTTCAGTCATGCTCTTTAATTCATAAGAAACAGGCTGATTTTACATACTGGTTTTATCACTAACAACAATCATACTTTGTTGTGGGTGGTAGGCCTATTCATATCCAAATACACAATCCACCAAGTTCACCAAATTCAATAGATGACAGATAATTCTTAACATAGTTTCAACACTTTCCTTGAGAAGATCGTCATCATTGGTTCCTTCAGCATGAAGCGGATAGGGCAGCAAGCTTCTACTAATGAATCCTATCCATGGCAGCACTTTGGCATCTTCTCATTTGAGGTTGACTGTCCATAAGTCATCTTCTAACATCTGACACCAAGTTTAGCGGGGTCTACCCTGCTTCTGCTTTCTCTCTAGTGGCTCTCACCATACATAATTTTTTGGATATCAATATTTTTGCAAGGTTATGGCCAGTTAGACACATTCAACACTCTGTCACAATGGCCTGCAACTTCTGGATCACTAAACTGCAAACTTTCCTCACTGGTGATACAGTTGTACCAAGTGACACCCAAAATTCCCTATAGGCACTATTGATACAACACATTGAGCATTTGTACTCTGTGTGCTACTATTGCCCATGATTCCTTGGCATAGATCAGGGGTGTCAAACTTGATTTCATTGAGGGCTGCATCAGGATTGTGTTTGACTTTGGGGGCCAGGGTGGGTGTGGCCAGNTCCTGCTGGTAATCCAAACCTCCCTAACCAAAATCCACACCACCAAAAGGGAGCAACTGCACTTCCACTCATCACACTCTCCCCCAGTTACTTTTACCCAGCAGCATCTCCATGCAAAGGAAACGGATGGCACATAATATGTGACTGTTTTTTAAACCAGTGGCAAAGAGCTCTCTCGCAAACTCAACTAGAATTCGATTGGTGGGATTTTTTCCCCCCCTAACAACACTATGCATGATCTCCCCGCCCACCGACCATTTAAAAAAAAACCTTTTCACAAGCCAAGCCGGTCGGTTAAGACATCAGCGGTGTTGGGGGGGGGATTGAAGCGGCGCGCGCCCCTCTCCTGGGAGGAAGGCAATGATTGGAGGGGAGGGTGGTGACGTTGCTTAAAGGGAAACCCACAGCTATTTCCAGGTTTGTTTGGGTAATTTCGTCCTTCTGCCGCCGCCAATGGGCTTTAAACAGTCCATCATCTAATCAGCAAGTTTCTCCTTTCCATCTGAGAATTAGCTAAGGAGCAGCTACCAACCTAGGGGTAACGCCCTCTGCAGCCAACACAATACAAAATCTTTTTTCCTCGCCCTCTTAGCGCCCCCCCTGCTGCCTCCCCTTGCCTCCTAGTGCCCCCCTGCCTCCCCTTGCCTCTTAGTGCCCCGCTAGGTCATCCCACCATCCCCCAGGGGGCGGCACCGCCTACTTTGGGAACCACTGCTTTAGAGTAATGACAGCCATTAAAGCCAACAAGATTATTTATTGAAATAACATTTTCTATAATAAAGGCATTGCCCTTTCACACACATACACACACAGGAGAATCATTTTCAAAAAAAGGATCTCATATGCTTTCTGTGAAATGTGTGTATCCTCAATTTCTCAGATCCCATGACAGAATTAACCTGAAGGTGTTTGTCAACCTTAGGATGAAAATAAAAAGAAAAAAACATCTAAAGTCTTTCCAAACAGCACAATCTTCAGCCACTCCACACAAGTCAGTTAATTCATTTTTTCCAGCACTTTGTACTTGGAATATTCTCAAGGATTAATTAATGGGAAACTCATTAATATCAATATTTACTTTTTTGATACACCTACATTTACTTTTCAGAAATGCCTACAATAAAATATGTATCAAATTAGTTTTCCCTTAATACGTGGGTATATTTATTGCCAATCATGTTTCCAGATATATCTGTGACAAAGAGTCTAGCTCCACTCATGGACACACTGGGGCAGTTTGTAGCAATTTCACACCAGCGGTGGGTTACGACCGGTACGCCCCAGTACGAGCGTAACAGTGCCTGCCAGGAGCACCAGGTATTGTTCTGGTATGGTGCTCCAGAGGGCCTGCCCGCCTGCCCATGCTCCTTACTGGTATTTGAGGTTTTCTGGGCTTCCGCACATGTGCACGGAGCATACGGCACCTGCATGACACTCCGCTGAGCAGCTGGAACGTCATGGAGATATCGCAGAGCATCGCGGGCGGTAAGTATGCATGTGCGTGCTGTGCATGTGTGCGCGCTGTGCATGTTCATGTGGTGGATGCCCGGCCCCGTTCCACCGTACCGGTTGCAACAGGATCTGGAACCCACCACTGCTTCACATGGTTGACTCATGTTCAGTTTAAAACAAGCAATCCAGAATTATTTTTATATTCAAAAGAAAAATATAAAAAGACGGTAATTTAATGACGTGGTGGCATGATAGAGTACTTTTTATGTCCCATGGTAAAATATTGTAGGACTTTTAAGACTTTTTACTAAAGCAAAAAAGACAAGAAGCTGGTCTATTTACACTGGTTGTGTTCCTTCAACATAAATGCACAGAATTTAGAGTTGGCCCTGAAAGCAGCATTTGTTAAAGAGAAATTTTCACTACCTCTCCAGGCAATTTGTCCTCTTTTGTCTCTAATCCAATAAAATAATATTCCATGAAGCACTAAGCAGCCACAACCTTCATTGTGGGGTCTTGGTGGTCTCTGAGCTTGCTTTTCTTGAAAAGGTTTCAGTACCCAAACTAGGAAACATTACTAGAAAGAAGTGAGGTTTGTTGCCAGTTTAATTCAACCCCGAGCTACAAATATTCTCCTTTACTGGTACATTCTTTATTTTGCTGCTTCCAGGGAGCGTCCGCTTCAGATTCTTCCCCAGAATTTTCACAGCCTTTGCACCTGCCTTTATTCAGTGAAAATGTTGCTAGGTTGGATAGCTATCTCGGGATTCCGTCCAGGAGAATGAGTTCCCTATAAGAAAGAACATACAATACGTCGGGGGGGAAGCCATTATTTTGATGGCGTTGATAATCTAGAACCAAGAGATGGCGCCACTGCCCCATATATTCACGCATCGTAACTGTGTTTACTTCCTAATGGCAGTAAGATCCTCCTCTTCCTCTTCCGAGCCTATAGGTCGAAGAAGAGAGGCGGCGTGGTTCTAATCGGGCGGCGAGTACACCAAGTATGTGCCCTTGTTGTTTCTGCCCTATTTTTTTCTTTTCTAATGGCGAAAAGAGAGAGAGCAGGGAGGCAAAGCAAACGGAACAATCTTCCATTGCAGGAATGTCTAGCGTAACTTCTCTCAATTCAGTGTCCACCAGTTGTCTTGTAACGCAATTCCCATCATGTGCGGTCACCCTGGCACGTTGTACCCAGTGCATCTGGAAGGCACCGGATTACGGGCGAGATGGCCGCAGCGGTGCTTGGGAGGAAACAAAGGATCCAAGAGAAAGCGGAGGGAAAATTAATCTGAACCCCCTCGAATCCTTTTCGCCGGAAAAGTTTAAGAAAATTTCATCAGAAAAGCGGCGTCTCTTTCTAAGAGAAAACTCGAGTTTACACTCATTCCTTGTGAATCCCGTAGCTTGGAGGTTTTAGTTCTCTTGCTAAAGAAAACAAAAACCCTTGACCCAGACTAATTTGTTGACCACCGGCATTTGGAGATACGCGAAGCCACTAGCAGGTTAAACTCACCGAATGGACTTCCAGAAAAAATTGCAAGCAGCATTACGGGTTTTTTTAAAAACTAATTTGGCACCCCGAATTCTTTGGGAATTGCAATCCATCTGCATCTGAAAGAGGAAGACCTTTAAATTGCCTAAATTACAACCCTGTTTGCTTCTACTAAGAAGGGTATCCAGTTATATGTTATGAAACATCCATGTATAAATTCATGCAATACGTTGCATGGTTGCAAATTTAAAATTGCTGTATTTGGAATGGTGGCTATCTTCCTACAGCTTGCTTTTAGGCACATCTTCTGCATAAAATGTACAATATGCAGTATTATTGACACCAACAAGTTCATTTAACACAAACTATCGCATGTCCACATTAACCCTTAAGACTCTCAAGAGGCCTCTAGAGTTTTCTAGAGTTGCAAAATGTTGTAGGATTGTAGTTTTTAATGCGAATTAATTATTAACTGTAAGCAGGAAAATACCATTACTCCAGAACAGAGAGACTTTTTATTTGCTTCATTATTACCCCAAATTGGAAATGGAAAGTTTCCTATATAATTAAAAATATTGTTGACTTTGATCAACATGAAATCAAAAGTCTTCATGCATTAGCACAATAAGGACATTGCTGATTAAAATTAAAGTGAAAGCCTTACTGCTTTGTGATAATAATAGTTGGATAACATGTAATCAAGTAAATTAAAATCCTACTTTACAGAGCAGGCATATATTACATATCCATCACTGTAAGCTCATTTGTATCCTTGGTACCCATCCTTCCCTCTGGCAATTAAAAATCAGGAGAGAGCAGAGCAGATGCATCTTTCTCAACAGCTACAGAATGGATGAACTTCCTGCCTGCTGCAAACTCCTACAACATTTTAAAAATGAGGGGACCATATGGAAGATGGAGGAAAAGACTTCATGGATGCCCCATCTTCTATCTTATGTGAGCCCTACTCTTTTCAAACAAGTGCATGAGCAGAGTTTGCATGTTTCCCAAGTTTTTTAAAAAATTTCTGTTTCTCCCCTCAGATAGAGCAAATTTTATGTGCACTACCTTAGCTAAGAAACACTAGTATGGAAAGTTTATAGGCAAGTAATTCGAAGTACAGTAATTGTTAACAAGGCTAATGTTTTAGTCTTCTGTGAAATGGCCATTCTTTTTGGTGATTTATATAAAATATTACCTGCTAACATCACTACAGAAAAAAAAAGTCTTGTATCTGTTTTGGATAATGGAACTGGTACTGTTGAACTACAGCATAAGTATACTGTCAACGGTCCGACTATCAAACTCAAGAAAAGTAGGCACTCTCAGGAACTTTGCAATCCCAAAGGCACAACTTTATTGGCTACACAATTTTGGTACTGACGAATCAAAACCAACTCTAGTTTTTCCTGTGCAATGTTTGTATAGTTAAACAATAGCTTCTCCTCCCCATAGCACGGTGGTCACATTGTCCAATTATGAATCGTCCTTTTGTTTTGAGAACAGTTCATTTCTTTGTTGGACACCTCCATCTGTGACATTGGTGGGTCTGGGCTCTCACAGTCTGTTTCTGGAGCATCTGCATTCTTTTTCGCCCTTCCCTGCCCCCAGTTCTGTGGCAAATTGAATAGCAATAAGACCCAAACATTTCAAAAGTGATTCAACCTTAACATATATTAGAATCTCCATGGATATATTATTATGTCAGGCTTTATTTTTGTTTTTGCTCTCCAAAATTATAGAAGAAGCAGTACATTATAGGGTTTTTTTCTGTGTAGGATAGTGAAATTTCAGATATTTCTGCATATAACTTGTATATAGGTAGCATGCAAATAACAAGCAATTGCTCTCAAATGTACCCTCATATTAGCTGCCTTTCTGTGCTGTCTTGTGGTCACTTGTTCATTTGGAAATTACTTGAAATGGAGATCATCCTGATAGCAGGTTTACGACAACTCACCACAGCCAACTCGCCTCACCAACTCGCCATGGGACAACTGGCCCTGGGACAAGAATTACACTAACATCGAAGAACTAATGGAATAGATTCAAGAAAGGATGCCAAAGGAGGGACAAAACAAAATGTAAATCATAAAAATTAACATATTTTAAATTATCTTAAATAATTAAATTGAATTGTCCTGCAGCACATTGTCCCATGGCAAGTTGGCAATGGCAAGTGGTCCCAATTAATGAAAGGGGAGGGGTGGCTGATAAACCCCTCTCCTTTCATTCAGAGCTATAATGCTTGGAGGCGAAAAACCTCTACTGGATAGAGATTTGAGGTTCCTGATTTTACCCAGAACAGTCTTAATTGTTTGCTGTTTCATTATTTGTTTATTTTTACAGTGCAAGTGAAGTGCAATATTGATGGAACTGAATACTCTCCTCTTTCAGTGGAAAACTTATCTGTTCTTAAGATCTGTCTTTGGCTTCTATTGTGTGTGTGTGGGGGGTTGCATCTGCTCAGTATTGGCAATGTTCAAAGTTGCTTGTGACATAAGGATGTTTTCAACTTTGAGATGTTCAAAATGACTGCCACCACAAAATGAGTGTTGTGTTCGCTGTTTATGGGACAGATTAATTTTACAGAAAGGGTGGATTGTTCTTTTAGCTGCACCATTTACTCTAGAAGGAAAGGGTCAGAGTATTCTAAAGGGCAACGATTGAAGTCACAAAAAGCAATCCTGTTTTTAAAATGTACTCTGAGGAAAAGCATGTTTACATCATATTTTACAAACTCCCAGATAAGTTTTTTGGGCAGTAAACACCCAAAGTTTAAAATATTTTTTTCCTGGAGAACATGGGAAATTGAATATCAACATTGCAATTCTATGCTTGTCTCATCAGAAGTATATTTCGCTAAGTTGGGTTGGATTTATCTTGAAGTAAATTTGTTGAACAATTAATAGTAAGACTGAAAAGAATAAAATGAAAGTGAGAATGGCATTTTGCCAAACATTGTTTTGCTCCAGCATTGCAAAATATCTGGAAAATATTTTGGTATTTTGGAAGGCTTTGTCTAAGTATTTTATATCACTCATAAAAAAATTTGCCTCTTGAAAATTAACATATTGCTTCACATGATAAAATTAGAAGGAACAAAATTCTCATTTAGTGAAGAGAGATAAAAAAAAATACTTGATACCTTAACCCTAAATTAACTTGGGCTTTAAAAAATAAAATTGATTCTGTGGAAATTTAAATGGCTGCTCTTTAACCACTTAACCATTTGGATTATTTTTTTTTGTCTTTTAGTTCGCAGTTACCACTGATACTTGTACCAATAGACAATGGTAAGATTTGTTTCCTTATAATTGCTAATGTATTTGATTTGTTTCATGTTAGTTAGATACAGATATTTATTCCAGTTGAATTGCGTCTGAAACCATTTAACATCCATTTGGATGTATGGGTGTTCTCATGTATGGGCATCATTGTCAATGACTTTCATACAGTAATAAAAAAGAGGAAAGAATGCAGAATAGTTTAGTAAAAGTTGCTCCATTATTCAACACTTGCACTTGGTGTCACCAGAAATCATTTTGGCTTGCAGTGTAAGTACTGAAATTAGTAGATGGCAACTTCAATCAGCAAATTTTGAAAGTGAATGCAGAATCAAAGGTTTGGAAAACAGAATAGTTCATCCTGTAATATCTTTTCTATACCTTTGTACTGAGGTATGATTTATCTTCCAGTCATATTTTGAATATAGAAATTGTGGGTATTTTATTTTTTTGTGGAAAGTTGAGCTCTAAAATTAAATCAGAGTAATAGACTATTAGATAAGTAGTTTTAAAATGATAAAAGAATTTGGTAAGAACATAAATCTAAGTGGAGCTGGTAATCATCATGGAAGGCAGTTATAATAAAAAAAAAGGTTTGTATTTTAGCTTTTAAGAGGTAGGAGTATGTGGATATGTTTAGATGTGTATATATAATCCGTGCACTCTTCATGGAAAATTATGGGTCAATATTTCCCCCCATGCTCCAGTTTTGTGGGTAGATAGATGCTTTCCCAATCTAGTCTTATAGCCAGATTCTGTACCTAAGGGAGATAAGAACCTAGACTTTTACACTTCTGTCCATCACTTTAATCTAATTTAATACAATATATCTGCTTATCATTGTTCCAATAGTGCCATACCTAGCAACTAGGCTTTTGCTCTTCATATTTAATGTCCACATAGAATATGTGATTGGGAAAATTCATATGCATTCTATAACCACATCACTGGAACAGAAGTTAAACAAATGGTATTTTGATTGTTATTTATAATAACAAAAGTGGCATTATTTTTGCATCTATATGCACAAAAACATTGTAGGCTTATATATTCACCTCTTTCCAACTTGGTACTTTCAGTATTTCCTAACCTGAAATTGTCCATTTGTTCCCCTTTTAGTAATAAAATTTCTAGTCTGACATCTCTTAGGATACTAAACTAAAGAAGTTGTTCTCATCAGAATCTTACAAGTAACCAGCATTATAATTGTCTTTCATGTTTCTGGTAGTTTTTATTCCTTGTAGCTTCTAGAGAAATACATAATATAATTTCTTCAAGGTTTAGAAAGGCCAGTATGTTCTTTATAATCATCTTCTCGATGTGTTTGTCTTCAAATCAGTTCTGGACTTCTGGTAGTGCTTTGACTTATCCCTGCAGTTTTCTTGGCAAGTTGTTTTTATGATTTGCCATTGTCTTCTTTCTAAGACTTAGAGAGAATGATTGGCTCAGGGTTACCCTTGTAACCATATTAGGCTTTGTGCCTAATATGAAACTAGAACTGAGTAGTTTTCTGATTTCTAGCCTGATGTCTTAACCACTACTAGCTCCATAATCATGCTAGATTTACAAAAAAGGTTTGAAGTACCATATTTAAATGTTTAAAATATTGAGATTTTTATTAACATTCTATTTAAACTAGAAGTTTTCGCAGATCACTTCTATCCCTTTTTGTTCTCCCTCAAAAAAGTTCAGCTTTGCATCAGAATCACAATACTAATCAGTTGAAACTATCTTTTCTGTCCATCTTCACAATTAACAACAGCTTTGCAAATCTGCCAGCTATATCCTTTTTTTCAGTGAAGTTGCCACCCAAATAAGCTTTAGTAACTACGTTAATATTTTGCAATTTAACAAATAATGTGATTTCCTTTACTGGAGTTTTCAGGTTTTTTACTGGTTGAACTAACCCATTCCTTCCATACAAATAAAATAAAAATAGAATAAAAGAGGGTTTTTTCATGGAAATTTGTGACTCTGCACTTTATTAGGGGAAAAAAAACATTTTTATTTTATTTAGAATCTACAAAATAAAAGATTCTGATAAAGTGCATACAGCTACAAATTCTCAGGTTCTAAAAATATCCTAGTAGCAACTGTTAGCATATGCAAATCTACAAGTTAGAATAAAATAACCTACATGTGCCATGAACTTGTGGTGATGGAGGTTTGCATCTGAAGGATGCTAAATTAAAGAAGATTAAGTTAGGATATCAGGCGTAGCATTAGACTAATGGATTTCTTTCTTACTAGGGCTGAATTCTGATATTTGCATCCAAAAGATATTATGTTAAATATAAACTTGAATTCTGAGTTTTAGGGGATATTTTTATCTGTTTTGATGGGTGATTGCTTTTAAGTAAGTAGAAACACAAAAAGTAATTGCCAATAACATTAACAAGGAGGAAAAGTTGTATGCAAAATAAGCTAATCTTTGGAGCAATTTGTTCTTGTCCTTGCAAACTGTGTCTTCAAAAGGCTTTTGTGTAGTCCTGGGCGATTAAAATAATGGGAATGTTGCCATTAACTTCAGTGGCATAGAGACTGAATCCATTGTCAAGTTTCCTCCCCCTCTCCCAAAATAAAGCTTTTCAGAGATGTTTGAGAGTGGAGGAGAAACTTGTATTCAAATGTGTCTGACAGTATGTCCTACTGGTCCCTGGGAACCAGAAAGTGAAAGTAGCCATAAACAAAAGGAGATTGACCTCTTAAGATTCATTTGTTAAAACTGAATACCAAGAATAAGTACATTTAGGCTTCTAGGATTAATGTATTCTTAAACGTTTGGGCTAAAATGGCACTTAGAGAAATCAATCTTGTCAACTTCTGTGATTTGGTGAGCAGGACATATATTCATGATACAGAAAGTTAGTTGATTGTGTGGTGTTTAACCTTTTTTCCCATTGAAATAAGAATATGTTTTTCACTCTTAAAAGTGAAATAGGAGATTCCATAGAGCTGAATGAAATGCAGCTCTCTTGACTTAAATTATAGGGGCATTTACATAATGGAGGACGGGGGCACTTTTGAACATACACGCACATATGCATGTGACTGGACTTTCTGGACAAGCACTTGCAATAGCTTTTCTTCAAAGAATAGGTAAAGCAGGCAGACAGATATCTATCCATTTGGAACTCCCAGGTTCTATATATTACATCATCTGGAGAGGCCCAGCTTTATTCAGCAGCTTCAACCATTTTAAATACAACCTTTGCCTTTGCTTTGCAATTTCATCGACCTTTTGTGATATAAGACACTGGAGCGTTCTCCAGAGCAATGAAATATTTATTATTGTAAGGACTGTCTTGGTTATTGGATGTGCCAGTTTAGGCTGAAGAACTTATGGTAGTTGGTTCTCTAGATCCTCATACATTTTAAACTTGACAACCAGAAGTTGTCAAGAGTCCATGTGAAAAGAGCCTGCCAAAGACCAGGAAACAGCAGAAACCAAACTGGATGTCAGAATAAGCCATGGAACTTCCAACAAGAGAAAAGAAGAGAAGTCAAAGCCAAGAAAGACAATTTCTCAAGAATGAACTTAAAGAATTTCAGAGAACAATTGGAAAGACTTAGAACAATATTAAAACATCATTTATAAAAATATCAGTACAGTTAGTACTAGACATATGATCAAAATTGAGTCCAACATTTCTGTTGCTAAGTGAGATATTTGTTAAGTGAAGTTTGACTCATTTTACAACCTTTCTTGCCACAGTTGTTGAGTGAATCACTGCAGTTGTTAAATTAATGACATGGTTGTTAAGTGAATCTGGCTTCCCCATTGACTGACTGTCAGAAGGTTGCAAAAGGAGATCACCTGACCCCTGTACACCACAACCATCATAAATATGAGTCAGTTGCCAAGAGTCTGAAGTTTGATTACGTGACATGGGGATGCAGCAACAGTCCTAAGAGTGAAAAATGGTCATACCAAGGTGGCGCAGTGGTTAAATGCAGCACTGCAGGCTACTGCTAGATCAGCAGGTCAGCGGTTCAAATCTCACCGGCTCAGGGTTGACTCAGCCTTCCATCCTTCCGAGGTGGGTAAAATGAGGACCCAGATTGTTGGGGGCAATATGCTACTCTCTGTAAACCGCTTAGAGAGGCCTGAAAGGCCTATGAAGCGGTATATAAGTCTACTGCTATTGCTATTGCTATTTCAATGTAATTGTAATTTTGAACAGTCACTAAACGAACTATTGTAAATTGAGGACTACCTATATAGAAGATGGAAACAGACATGAAAAAACAAGATCTTCCTAAAGACCTCTGAATTCAGAAAAAAAAATCAACCTCAAATTGGCATGCTAAAGATGGACAGATAATAGCTGATTTAAAGAAGATTGAAGATGAAAGGTGTAAACTGAAATTCTATACAGTAGAGATATCAACATCTAAGAGCATTTTCAAGAGATTGTATTAAGGAAAGCTTAATCAAAACATGTTTCTTTTGGCAAATAGTCGCACTGTTCAGCTTTGGAATTTGGCACCATACTTGGAATACTGCATTCAGTTTTGGTTGCCATGATGCAAAGAAGATGTTGAGACTCTAGAAACAGTGCCAAGAAGAGCGTCAAAGATGATTAGGGGATTGCAATCTAAAACATAAGAATGGTTGCTGGAATTGGATAGGTCTAGTTTAATGAAAAGAATGACTAGGAGTGAACATGATAGACATCTTTCAGTATCTAAGGGGCTGCCACAAAGAAGAGGAATCAACTTATTCTCCAAAACATCTGAAGGCAGGACAAGAAAAAATGAATGGAAAGTAATCAAGGAGAGAACCAACCTAGAACTAAGGAGAATTTCCTGACACAAGAATTAATCCGTGGGATGACTTGCCTCCAGAAGTTGTAAGTGCTCCAATATTGCAGGTTTTAAAGAAGAGATTGGGCAATCATTTGTCTGAAATGATATAGGGTTTCCTGCCTGAGCAGGAGGTTAATCTAGAAGACTCCAAGATGCCTTTCAATTCTGTTATTTTAAAATTTCATTTGCAAATTACTAAA